TGCCAAGATAAATTTCACAAAGCTGTGCCCAGACAAAACCCAGCTGTCTTCAGCAAGACCAAAACCAAAGGCAGTGTCCAGAATTCATGCCCCATCTTAAAAGTACCATCCTTTGGATCCTGAGATGGCTGCCATGTAGCCATCCAGGTAGTTTAGCTTGCTCCCAGCTTCTGTCCTGCTTTAGGTTGCTGCTGGAGGCAGCTCACGGAGCTGGCACCACCATTGGCCTTGTGGTTTCTAGGGTTGCACTGTCCCATGCTGCCGGCGGGCATGCATGAAAAGGCACCAGCAGATGCTCCCCCAGGTCAGAGACAGAGAGGGGGAGGGATGGGGGGGGGCAGGAGAGACCCTCCTGGAGGCCATGGGCTACGAGCTCGCTCAGGTTTTGTGGCCCTTGGAGAGGACAGTAGACCTTCTTAGTGCAGGTCCTGAACAGCAGCCACATGCAAGAGAGAGATTTCTTTGTTCCCTGGGTTTATATTAGTTTTGGGTATGGGATGGACTGGTGCTATCTCAGAATGACCAGTTAACTTCCTAAACTTTTGTGCGCTTTGGGTGGGTCCACATCCCCTCTAATCCCTTCTTTTCCCCAGGCTAGACTGACAGGCCTCTTTGGTCCAGCACCTCTTCATGCTGCCATTTCAACTTATATTGTGCATCTACCTGTCTTTCCCTAGGCCCATCCCCAATCTGGTACCGGAAGGGGGTAGGAGGGCTTTTTAGCTCTTAGCCAGCTGTGTTGCAGGGCTTGGCGTGTGGTCAGTGTAAGAACCTCCTCCTGCTGCCATCTTGCCTGGGGTGGGATACATGCACTCAGTTACCTGGGCAACATCACAGGCCCACAGGAGTGCTGTGAAACTCAACTCCCTTGTCAATGCCTTGGGCAGTCTGTGAAGGTATTGGCTGGCTACATGCCACGCCCTCAGTGCCCTTTCCTGGGGGTCTAGACAAACTGTCTATCGATATCATGATCACCAAAAACGATGATTAGAGGTGACAGGAGGATACTAGAGCAATCTGCTTGACTTTTTTTTTAGTCCTTACCTGAAGACATATTTTCATTTGCATTGTAGAGAGATAGAGAAACATTGATGCAAGAGAGAAGCATCAATCAATGGCCTCCCATATGTGCCTGTACTGGGGATTGTATGTGTCTGTACTGGGGACTGAACCTAGGCATGTGCCCTGACCAGGAATTGAAACAGCAGCCCTTTAGTTATGGGGTGACACTCCAACCAACAAGCCACACTGGCCTGGCGAGGAATCTGCTTAATTTTAATTTCATGTCTCTTTAAGAATGCAAAGGACAAATAGTCAAGTTAGGTAGTACCATAGCATGTGAAAGGGAAGACTAAATGTGATATTGCTTTATTTATTTACATTTAAAGAACTCGAGTAGTCACTTGAGTTATAAATGGTCAGTCTACATTGTTTCTCCTTTTGATTATTTCCTTTTATTTTCCCTACAAGTAAGTGAATTTCTTTTAAGTAGGTATATTGATGTTATCTTTATTTATTAATGCTTTGGTAATAAATCTTGGATTTCCATAGCAATAATCAAATACATTTTAAGTGTTTGTTCCCAAGATGCGTGCTTCATTTCTTTTTAGATCCAGATATTTTTGTGGCCATTCTTGTGAGGTCATATTATCTAGTTTGTGTTGTTTAAAACTGGAAAACAGAAAGGTTGATATGAAGTAAAATAATGAAAGTACTAGACCTGACCCTTGATATTATTAATAGATGGCACATTTTGGTAGATTTTCTTGGAATACCTATGTTTAACTTTTAAACATAAGCGCACACACATACACAAATATATAACCCACCAATAAGTAATGTGTACTTGATCTTGAAGCTGATATTCCTGATCCGTGATGGACGTAGAATGATACATCACACGTAGAATATATCATTGGCTTTTAATTAGAACATCTTCAAAACACATTTTAAAGATATTTAAAAAATAGATAGGAGTTCATTATATCTTTACAAAACATTCCTGTTTGTTTTCCTTTTATCATATTTTAAGGTCAGATGTGACTCTGATATTCCACAATGAGACAGAGATTGATAATCGGAAAAGAATGGCACTTTAATGTGATTTATATCTATAGATTTTATGTCAGATATGAAAAGTTGCCGTTTAAATTACAAAAGAGAATCCATTACAAAACACTTTAAACCATTTTACTATTTAGCTTACCTTGGACTCTTTTTAGGATTATGCCTTTTCAAATAAACTTGAAGAGCTTACCAAATGTTTACGAGGTGTAACTTGAAAAATTTCAATATAATAGGCTATTAAATAATGCATTTTTGTAATTGTAGTACTTTTTAATATGAACATGTATGGTATTTCAGGGGAGTGTGGAAGCCAGTGAGTGATTTTCTAATTTCTATCAGTGGTTTAATTTTCTCTGGTGATGTTAGGTCAGGGCAGGCAGTGGACATAGCAGGGAGCATTGGAGATATAAAAATTCTGCAGATGTGTGCCACTGTGTCCTGTTTGTTTCAGTATATGGTGGGGTTGGGTATGGTGCAACCTCTAAAGTGCTGCCTAGTTCTTGAACAAATCTCTGAAAATATCACATGACGGTTGACATTTTGTTCCATGTAGTAATTCACTGGTTATCTTCTCTTAAACTACTCTTCCTTTCAATGTTTGTTAATCATTTTCTTCTATTTGCTCAAATTAAAAGCTAAACTGCCTTGTGGTTTATTTGGTCAGTTATTTAATATAGCACGTGGCAATTGCCCTTAAATTCTTATAAATTAATCTAGTTTCCAGCATGATTCATTTTATCCACATGATAGTTTAGTTGAAGTACCAGTATGCTGTCAGATGTTGCCCAAAATCTTCTAATTGTTCAATTTTTAGAGCCATTGTAATCCTTCCATTTTTCAGTTGAGGATAGTTTGGCAAATGAGCTAAAGCTAGTTAGATGCCCAGTCTGATGGGAGATATTACCAAGGGTGATATTTGAATCTGATTTCCATTTTGCCTCCCAGTCTTAATGTTCATTCACCTATACAAGGTTGGACAAGAGTAGGTTTACAGTTATGAGTATGTAAATTTATTCTTATAATTTATTAATTATATTATTTAGATTGCTTCCATATGAATAACTGAAAACCTGTATTTGCCCACCCCTACATATTATATGAGGGGGGACCCAAAAAGACTCGGAATTTATTTGTAAAAAATTTTACATTTATTCTTACATGTTTAAACTTCGGTCACTTTCAAAGTACTCTCCATTCAATGCAATAAACCTATTGAGATGTTTCTCTGCTACTCAAAACAGCTTTTGAACTCATCAGTTTTGATCCCTTTTAGTGCTTCTGCTGTTTTTGTTTGTTTGTTTCACTTTTTTTTAAATGTAACAGAACTTTCTTTTTTTAAAGGGCTCTATTAATTTTCTTTCTTTTTAAAGATTTTATTATTTATTTTTAGAGAGGGAAGGGACAGAGAAACAGAGAGAGAGAAACATCAATGTGTGGTTGCTGAGGGCCGTGGCCTGCAACCCAGACATGTGCCCTGACTGGGAATCGAACCTGCGACACTTTGGTTCGCAGCCCGAGCTCAGTCGACTAAGCTACTTCAGCCAGGGCTGTTTCACTTCTTCCACATCTGCAAAACGTTTCCCTTTGAGGACTTTTTTCATTTCGGGAAAGAAAAAAATGTCTCTAGGGGTAAGATCTGATGGATAGGGAGGGTGGGGCATGGGAGTCACACCGTTTTGGGTCAAAAACTGATGAACACTCAGCGTGGTGTGGGCAGGTGTGCTCAAAATCACCCATCATGAAATGTGCAAACACAATGGAAGAGTCTTTTTAAAAATTGACTGAAGCTGAACGTGGCCTCTCACAACAACGCCAGCTGGTCCACTGCTACAGATGGGTTCCTAGACCACTCACCTAGCAGGGGAAGCCTGTGCTATGAGGGGCCCACCCTCCAGAAGATAATTCTGGTGTTTTTTGGGTACTCCCTCGTACATTTTCTATATATATAGTACTTGATTCTTAGTGGCAGTATTTAATACTCATTATGCATTTCAGAGTTTCTTCTACTTTTTTTTCTTTTATCCTCACTTGAGGACATACTAATTGATTTTAGAGAGAGGGGAAGGGAGGGAGAGAGATAGGGAGAAAAACATTGATATGAGAGAGAAACATCGATGGGTTGCCCTTTGTACTGATCCCTGGTTGCCCTGATCAGGGACTGAACCTGCAACCTGTGCTTGTACCCTCACCTGGAGTTGAACCACTACCTTTCCGTTACAGGAGGACGCTTCAGTCAACCGAGCCACACCAGCCAGGCTCTTCCTCCATTTCTTTATTTGTATTTTGTACTTGGGTCAAACTGCACTGCTTCTCCCCTGATGTTGACCCATGTTTGTCTGCCATGCCTTTGCTTCAAGGTTCTCTTAACTTGCATCCAAAAATGACTTGTCTTTCTCAAAATCTTCCATTTTTTGGTCTTCTTCATAGCATTTTATATAGTCCTCTTACTATTTCTGGTTAAACCTCATTAAAAATCATCTTCAGCTTCAGTGATTTGATGTCAGTGACGTGTACTTTTACTAGCGCTCCCCGCAATCTAGATGCAGCCCCTCTCTGCTACTTGTAATTTGGCCCTTTGCGTCTTCCCTGCTTAGCTTCTCCTGATTATTCAGTTCTCTGCTTAAATATTACACACTGCTGGGTGTATTTTATGAATGCAGAGAAATAAACTACTGGAATATTGTTGTGGTGGTAGTATGTCACTAAATCCCAGTTAATTCCATTAACGAAGAATATAAAAGTAACTTTAAATGTGGGGTGAGGCGGGCCAAAGGGGGAAAAAGTGGGAACAACTGTAACAGAGTAAACAATAAAAAATAAAGAAAAAATGTGTGGTTGGCTCAATTCATATTAGAAATTATTTCATGATGCATTTTGAAGTATTTTCCTATATTTTTATAGGATTAATAGATGTTTCTTTTTTTCTGTTCCAGTCACTCTGTGCCCAGTATTCTGCAGACAAGCGAGAAGATGAGAAGATGTGTGATCATTTGATAAGAGCAGCTAAATATCGAGACCACGTGACAGCAACTCAACTAATCCAGAAAATAATTAACATTCTCACAGACAAGCATGGAGCCTGGGGAAATTCTGCAGTCAGGTAAAGTGAACCTCCAGGGTTTGGCCACTGGTGTATCCTACGGAGGCTTAGATTTAGATAAATGGCTTTGGATATGATTAAGGCCAGATGAAGAACAGAGTAATTTAACTTTGTATTTTATCATTTATGAATTCGAAGCAAATGGGAGGGAGAAAACCAGTATGGGTACAGTTACAGATCTTTCTAGATACTTCATTTCCCTCAACTACTTCTAAAAAATATTTACTCATGTATTTATTCATTTTGAAGTGAATTTTCAGGAAAGTAATTAATGCAAGTGATTTTATTTTAGCTACAGGTATATTTGAATTTATTATAAATACAATATATTATTTTAAGATTAAGAAATTACCGTATTTTGCCATGTGTAATGCACACTTGCCCAAACTTTTGAGGGGAAAGTAAGGATGTGCATTATATACATGGTTATGATGATTACATCCCATGGGTATAATAATGGGCATGACAATCCCACGTGTGTTGCACACAGAAATGTGGGTGCGCATTGTACACGGGGGGTACATTATGCACAGCAAAATATGGGACATTTTTCCTAGTTACACTTTTGAACTTTTAACACATAAATTTGAAAACATAAGTGTTGTTTCTTGAATTGCATTGCAAATTGTAAGAGTAGGGTGATAAAAATGGTTAAATGCCCTCTTTAAAATTTTATACACTTTATCTACCTTCTTGTAAGGTTAACAAATTGAGCGTGCTAATTTTGATTCTGATCTCTGGAAACAAAAAATTAAAATTACTACTTCTAGGATGAAGGAGCTTAGATTATAAAATTTAATCTCATTTGAATATTTTATGCTAATAGATCTTTGAAATATGCTTTGACTTTTAGTTAAGTAATGTTAGTGAATAAAGTTTTATATAATTCATCATTAGAGATATTTTCAGTTCTTCATTTCTGTGTAACTTTTGCTAGAAGACAGCAAAAAAAATGGAAATAGTCAATTGCTTGTACATTATATGTAAATGTAATTGGTTTTCACTTGTATTTTAAGCAACTGAAGTGTCTAGCAAACATCTAAATCTAGCTTTAGAAATTTTCCAGTGAATAGAAAATAATTTAAATTTTTTTAAAAAAGTTGAACCTTAAACTATGTGAGCTGAAAGCTACTTTTTATGGGTTTTTAAAAGTTAAATGTATTGGGGTGACCTTGGTTAGTAACATTACGTAAGTTTTTGGTGTATCATTCTATGTAGTACACCATCTGTGTATTTCACTGTGTGCTCATTCACCCAATTCCAGTGTCTTCCTGGCCCCTTACACTTGACCCTCTTCACCCTTTCATCCCTCTGCACAGCTTCCCCTCTGGTAACAGCCGTAATGTTGTCTGTGTCTATGAGTTTGCTTTGTTTTGTCACACACACGTGGCTGCGGTCCTATGATTTTTGTCTTTTTTTAGCTGACTTCACTTAGCATGGTATTCTCACATTTCATCCATGTTGTCACAAAGTGACAATATTTCATCCTTTTTCACGTCTGAGTGATACCATCTTCTTTACCCAGTCCTCAGTCAGAGGACATGTAGGTTGTCCCATGTTTTGGCTATTGTAAATAGTGCTGCGATGAACATTGAGGGTGTTTTTGCTTTTAGTACAAATATATAACATAAAATATAGAACAGATACAGCTCATGATGCTTATGAGGAATACTTAAATAAAATGAATTATACTTCTGGATGTATCATTTTTGGTATTCAGAAGAATGAATGCAGCCCAGGGACTTTAGGGCAAAGACACTGAATGAATGAAGGCAGGAACTGAGTTTGTTACTGGGTCAGAGTTCTCCGTTGCCTTATCTTGCAACATTTAGAAGCCTCTGGGTTTGTGTTTAGGGCTGGGGAGTTGTGTTCAGAATTTTGGAATTTCCGAACACGTTAATCGTTTAGATTTGATGCAGTCATTTTGACATCAGGCACTGAGTAAATTAGGATATTGCTTTCATGCACAGTGTCAAGCACCTACTGGGAACTCTGCATATTTGTTGACATATTTAAAATTATTTTTAACCTAAATTTAGTTTTAAAATTTAAAAATAAAAACCCATAGGAAACTTATGCCAAGCATGTCATTGCTCCATCAAAATTCTTTCTTGTGATAGCTGCACCCTTGTATGGCACAAGTATACCTGTGCTGCGCAATGAAAGTGTTTTCCTGAAATGATTTTGGTGTAATGAAGTATCTTGGAGAACTAAATGGGCTGTGAAATGTTTAGATGCAGAAATAATTAGTGTTTCTGTAACCGAATTGTTCACAGGCATCAGCTCTATTATTCTATACAATTGAGGTAAATTTTGAAATTTAATGTTTCCAA